GGGTATTAGGACACACCCTGTATAATATGCTGAAGAATAATTTCTACTTTAATTTATATAATCCGAGGGGTGAGCCGCTGAGTGCATTGTGGTGTACAGATTTGCGGCGTTACTGGGCATTACTAGGCATTGGTTTGGGCATTAGGCTTTGCCGGAGCATTATAAAGATATAAGATAAAACAAGATAAATAAGATAAAGTAATGCCCAGTGGGCATTAGTGGGCATTGGTGTGCAAGATTTTGGCCAGCGGTTTCCCCCTCGATATAATCGGAAAAATTACTACCGAAATAATGATCTCAAGTTCCTTCGGTCAATCTAAAGTTTCTCTCAAATACATGGCGCATTGTTAAAGAATGATTTTCGCTTTGTAATATATTTATAAAAGAATGATTTTCGCTATGTAATATATTTATAAAAAGTTATTGCAAAAGTAATTATGTATTAAAAGGTATAATTAGCAGGAATTAAATATTAATCCGCTTGTGCGAGCTGGCATGCGAAATTCGCTGAAAAGCGCCGACTGTTTACGCGGAACCACGGGATAACAATGTATGACGTACGCGGAATTGTTTCCAGGACGCCGAAGAACAGTACGTTTTACGCTGCCTTATTGCGAAATGGATCGCGTGCGTATTTCGAGCATTTATTTTCGTAAAAGCGTCATTCCACTTAGGTTTCTCAACTTTCAGTACGTCTATTTCGGTCCATCCGATTCGCGCCTCCGGATGGTCGAAGACCTCGAACAGCTGTTTCCATTGAATTGAATTTTGAAAGAAAATCCTTGTCAAACTCAGCCAGAGCTTGCAGGCGCACTTGGATTGACCCAACAAGCCATTTCGATATTATATTTTCCTTAAAAAGGCCGAGAATTAAGTTGCACGCCTAATATATGTGAATATCGTCACGTAGGACACAGTGTCTAAAAAGAAATCCAGAAACTTGAGAAAGAGGACACTTGATTGATACAACGAGATGATCGAAAGGTGACACGCGAGTACCGCGAGTACCGAGAGGGACCGAAAGAAAAGGGATGGAAAAGGGAAGCTGATCGATCTTGACGAGTAAAAATCAATCAATTTCTCCGGTCGCTTGTTGCAAAACCGAGCGGGTACATTTCTAGACCACAGAAATTCATGCACGGTGTCCGGATTCGCCGTCAATGTATTTTAGTGCGCGCCCCATTCATCATGCTCAGGATACCGAGGCGGTATTCTATTATGTCGGTATTCCATATTCCGTCCTGCGAGATCATAAAGCACCGGCGATATTTTGCGTTTGCGCGCGCGGCGCAATTCATAAGCTCGTTTTATCGGGCCGGGTGGGGGCAGTTTCGCGAGCGAAAAATTATTATTTACGCGGCGTCGTCGCGCTATTACGCGGGATTTATGCGAAGCCGCGCCGCGAGGAATCATTCACGCCGCCGGCGCGGCGTCGCGGTCCAAGATTACCGATCAGAGGTCGGGGCGGGGTCGTTCATCCCTCGCGCGAACGCGCCGCGAGACAAAGGGGGATCGCACCGCGCGCGCCTCCAGTCCACCGAGGTGGGAGTTGTGCTCGCTTCTAACGAGAATTTACATTTCTCATTACAGTTTCGACGTGGAAAATGGCGCCTCGACTTTGGACGGCGGCGCCGGCGGTGGCGGCGGCGCCTCGCCGAGCGCGGGGCTCGTTCTCCAGACGCTGCCCCAGAGGAGAGAGAGCTTCCTGTACCGGAGTGACAGCGACTTCGAGATGTCGCCGAAATCGATGTCTCGAAACAGCTCCATCGCCAGCGAGAGGTGAGCATCCCCCTCGGATTTTCTTTTTCCTCCGGTAGCTCGCTTCTCGGTCTCTCCCTCCCGCGACGGCGTTATAAATCGATTGTCGGTAACTCGGGGCTTACGTGAGTAACGCGGATAACGCGTATCGGCGAAGGTTGCTTCGACGCTGCTCTCCCGCGCGAAAAAAAAGAGTCTGTAATACCACTTTTTAAACGCGCCCGCGAAGGAGGGTTTATTAGGTTTACGGAGGGGATATTGGAGTCCGGAAGAAAGTCGCTCGATTTACGACAACGTTCACTTATTTGTAATGAGACGCGATAAGAGCTTTATCAGTGGGACGTGTAAGGATTAATTTATTCCGTGGAAGGAAACGTTTGAGAGATACTTTAATACGGAAATATTACGGAATTATAGATTAGCCTTTGTAAAGTTAGCTCCCGTACACGCGGGAAAGTCTAATTTCAATATTTAACTCGCGCCCCGTTGAAAATGCCACGTTACGAGTGTCGAAGCAACGTTCGCGCGAGCATACAGATTACAAATTAACACAACTCTGTACAGGAAGAATCATTTCGCCCTGTTTATTCATTTGAATCGCAGTGCAAATCGTTGACTTGCAACGACACCGAGTGTCCACTTAAATTTCAAATTAATACTGTAACATACACGTGTTTTACAAGGATATATTATGCATGCGTTACACACTCTGGCACTTTTCTATCATTCTGACGACGCGCCTGGGAATTCCGTGGCGCGTGCGGTCGTAAACGAATCGTAATGTCCGTCGCTCTGCTGCTCAACTTCTGGTCTGGCGTACCAGTCTGTAATATCGTTGGAGGACGTTTTCGCGGCAACGAAGAGAACGCGTGCCGATAATGCAGATGCCTCCCTCGAAGCCGCCCATAGCTTCGAGCGGGGATTACGAAGCCGATAAAATGGAGAACGGAAGAGGGACCTTGTTCGGTGGCGCCGGCAATGCCGCCGGCACCGTACCGCGGCAAGATATCGCGCGCGTTATCTATCCTCGCGATAGAGCTGGACTGATTGGCGCGGCAGCTATCAATGTGTGCGACTGTTGCAAAACACACGTGCTGCGATTTAAACTCGATTTCATCGTCGGTCACCGCGGGACGGATCCTCGTTGTTGTTGCACGACGTGCGAACGATCGCGGTCTCTTCGTTGCCCCTTGCGATTTGTGCGTGTAACAAATCTCGCTTCGTCCCACGAACTGTAAGCAGTTCGTGATTCGTCTTGGTGCTTTTGTGTATCTTGATAAAATATCGTAGTTTCTTGATGGGCGGTGATGCTTAACTCTACTCTCTTGGTCCTTATTTTTTTCTCACACACAGATATCACGGTTACTTCACTTGCATACACACACTCACACACACCCACACACACACACATATATACGTTCAATTGTCCACGGCGAGATGATGTTTCCGAGCGCTATTATCATAAGACCGTAGTAACGGTAAAACAAACGAGAATTATAAAATGGAGACGTTTTTCCGCTTCAATTTCTCAATTTTGATTCATCTTACGCAATCTCGACGTTCGATATCTCGAGAAGACATCGCGCACTGGCGCAAACCGCGGTTTGGAAGCATCATCTGCCCGCTGCCGTCTACTTAAGTGTTTTATCGTCGCTAGTGGGTGTTGGGGTGTGACGATATGATGTATGTGATCCTTGGGTTGCAGGTTCAAAGAGACAGAGCTTCCTGTCGAGCGAGCGTATGTACTCGATCCTATTATCTAACTCATTTTGTTTTATTTCACACTTGGACTCCACACTAAACATCGCCATTCGACACCCCCATACATCATCACCGGTGTAAAGCAACGTCCTAACATTTCATTAATATATTCCACGTGGGCGAGTCTGTTTCCCCGAGTATCTAATAATAAACGTGCATGTTATGTTTTTCGTGTTAAATTGTACCGTCGTAAATCTCGTCGTTGTGATTTTATGTTTCAACATTACACACGTCATCCGCCTTCGTGCCCGAATTAATTTCTCTTTTAATCTATTGCATTTCTTGCAATATTATCATTGCGTCACTGTCGGCACCTGAAATACGTATTTAAAATGCTAAATAATCACCTCTCATCCGGGGATGTTAAGAAAGGAAAAAAAACAAATTGCTCAACTGTCCGCTTGATTGATTAAATTTGCAGACTAGTGGAAGTAACGGGATTACGACGGGAGTGTATGAAGTTGGCATCCCACGTTTTGAAAATTACTATTATTTAAGTTGTCCCAGGCTGTTCGAACTTTGTACCGCATTGTTCCAAAAGGATATGATTTCGACATCAAGAATTATTTTGACGCCAGTAAATGACTAACGATGATTAAGCTTCCGATCGACCGTGACTGGCGATGTGTTTTTAACACAGAAAATTTCTTGCGAAAAGTATCAGCCAGGGTTTGAACCTGGACCCTCCCTACACTCTAGGACGTCTTACCAATTCGACCACCGAGGCGTATGATAATAATTGCCGCGATAACAGTATAGACGGTGTCTACGCGTATATTTTCGACTTTCGCGAACTGCGAATGTTATTTTATTCCTATCGGTTTGCCGATTTGAAAATGATAATTTTCAAAATGCGGGCCGCTAACTTCGTGCACTCTTATGACAGTGCGATCTACGCTTGAGCGTTGCGACTACTTGTCGTGGACGAGATCGTTTTGTTGCTTTTAAACGGCGTCGCTCATCTCGCGCGCTTTCCTAACAATTCGGGTGATCGGGCGGGTAACCGGGCAAACCTGAACACAAGATCGCATCGACCTCACGTATACGCAACGAATACACACAGCTTTAGCATAAGGTGACGCAAACTCCGCGCTTGTACGCAACAGCGACATTGCTTTACGATTTGTACACCGTAATATAGCGATATTGCTGATTTAGAGCGTAGATTTAGATGGCTAAAACGGGCAAGATCCATGTTGAGCCCGTCTTTCCTATAGAGTCGTTGCCAAAGAGATTATTCGCTGCGTAATAACATTCTCTTGCTGCTTTCTCGCCGGTCTTTAAGTTCAGAGTTGAAAGTTGCCGATTATGTCGCGTAACGAGCCGACGGGCACGCGATGCTGTGCAGATCATTTTACTGGCTAAATATTTCAAGAGATATCTAAGATGATCCTTAAACATAAGAATTGACACCCGCAAACAAGCTTTAGTGTGCACTCAATGCGCACTGGTGCAAGCAACCGGATTCGCTATATGTTTCCCACCGGATTGCTTACGAGAACCAATGAGGATGCAGAGTCTCGGGGTCAGGTGACTCAAGGCTAAATCCTGATTGGCTCTCGCGAGCGATCCAGCGGGAAAACTAGCGTCGTGTGCCGTCGGCTTTACTCGGCGCTTGCCTATCATCGTGCCTGGCGATTCTTGTTATTCTGTACGGTAAAATGTGCGCTGTACGTGACGATACGGTAATGTTTGTTCGAGCGTCGGATTACGATAATAATCTTCCACGTTTTGCGAGTTAGGCATAAGTTTTACTAACCGCATGCTGAACATAGTTGAACGTTACCGAATAAATACGAATATTTCTTATTTTCAGGATATTTACCGATCAGTACAGGTAAGTTGCATCATCTCACAGTTTAAGTATCGTAATTTTAGTTCGCGACGTTGTTGCAAATTGTATGATTGGATGATTGCGCCTCGATTAACATTCGCCGTGCCGCGTCCGTCACGTCGAGTCCATAGATTTTGTACAAGAAAAAGCTCTTTAACGCGAATTGTTTGCCCACCGGAGCGGAATGATACGATTTGAGGGAATAAAATTGCGGGGCGTTTCTCGCGCGGCGTCGCGATGACAATTTCGCGAGAGTGTCAGGAAAACACGCTGGGAAAGAGAACGGTTTTCTTTTTCTCTCACTCGCGCGTAACTCGTTAATACTAGGGAGTTAACTTTTCACGCAGCTACGAGCCGTTCGTAGCTGCGTGCATTACGTTTCTTCGCGATTATTCTGCCGTGTACACCGCCGCCTGTTGCCCCGTCGGGCGTGTTACGACGGCGGGGTTTTGCATGCGGGTCTCATTTTATGATAGAACGAGTGCAACGTGAGTGCACACGAGTGGGACTGCAGACTATGCAAATATTTTTATCTAAAGTGGCATTAACGCGCGGATTGATAGCGCCGGACACTTTTCGCTCGCATCTGCCGTGACGCACAAACGCCTACCGTCTTCCGGGGAAAATTGCGTTGTAATAGAAAAACTTACATTTTACACGACGGCAAAAACAAAGGGGGAAGAAGGATACACGCGCGTGACCGTAAACAGGATCTGCACGATTGAACAATTAAATATCTCCGTGTGTCACGGAATTATATCTCAATTATATCTAACTTGTATCTTATTTGACGTTGCTTAACAAATATGTTAGGGCTCTGTTAATAAACGTCTAACTTAATAAGCAGAAAGGGGCGATAACAGCCAAACGCCAGGTTAAGGGGGAAATTGCTGGGGGCATTGTAGTGTAGAGATTTGCGGCATTGGGCTTTGCTGGGATATTATAAAGATAAAATAAGATAATAAGATAAAGTATTGCCCACTGGGCATTAGTGGGCATTGGTGTACAAGATTTTGGTCAGCGGTTTCCCCCTCGCGCCAGGCGTTAGGTGCGAATGTATTAGATTTAATGTTTAATAGAATTGAGCAAGTCAAACGTTTCGATCATCATGTATGCAGTACTGAAGTGGCGACAAGTAAATATCATCTTCATGTTGAGGTTCAAAACTTTTCAACCCACCCTCGTGGTTGGCCCCTGCACTGTTAACAAATGATACACTGAGAAAAATTTTCATCGGATAAACCCATTAAATAGTATGTCCGATGGTTAATTTTTCCGATTACGTTTTCCGATTAAATTATGGATATATCCGATGAAATGCAATTACCGATGAAATTTGATTGAAAAACCGATCAAATTTTTCATCGGATATACAATTTAATCGGATATATCCGTTTGTTATCATGTAATTGGATTATCCGATTATATTTAATCGGACATTTTTCTCAGTGTACGCATATCGTTGAAGTACCGAGAAATGCCGAGAAGTCATTGAACATATCCATATTATGTTGAACTAACACAAAAATTTGCGTGGACCGTTTGGGACATGTGATATCTGTTAAATTTAACACAAATCTTTCAACTGTGTACACATACCGCAAGTGCGACGTGCCGTGGAAATTGTGTAGAGATGTGTGAGGTGGTTTTCGAAACGCACATTTTCGACGCAATTGCATACAATAATTTGACGTAAATTCCCGCGGGGGTCGATCGTCATCGAACAGCGATTAACGGCCCGCTGACGAGCCCGCGCGCTGGAAAAGGCGCGCCAGCGAAATAGGTGGCGGAGCGGCGATTTAATTATTTAAGTTTCTTCAGTTGTCGCGCGAGCGAAAAGGCGCTAACGCGGGGGATATTGCGTCTGACGGGCCTGAAATTAGATTTTCCAATGAGCGCCGGCGATTATTTCCGGCGTCGCGACTTAATCACCGTTAACAACACTTCGCGGGCGCGCCTGTGTACGCGCGATCGTTTGTACCAACTTGAATTACCAAACTTCGTTGACGGTTCGCGCGGGAAACGACCCTGGCGTACGTCACTTTCGCGACTTGGCCGAAAGGAAAGGCACCGATCGACGTTGCGCTCGCGAGAGGGTCGTGTCTCGCCCCGCGTGTGCGTGCGTGCGGAGCAGCTAAACTTCGCCGACCCTCGCGCGACGGTGCGCCCCGGAAATTCGCCGCCTCGCAACGTACTCGCAATCGGCGAACTCGTCGCGCCGCGCATATCCATTTAATTATAACGCAAACCGTTCGGAAGATTGCCAGAGCAACGCGAGAGCGATCCATCAAAGTCACGTGTTTCAATCCTGTGTATCTGGAGGGCGTCCAACTCAAACTTCTCAGATTGAATGGAAATAGCTGAATGGCTCCTCTAAGCGATGGAATTAACTTTTGTGCCTCGCGAGAGCGATCTCGCCCGAGATGATCGCTCGGGAGATCTGTCGGGCCGTCCCGAGTAAATTTCCCTCGATTCTATTTGCGAAGGGCGGCGCGCTCCGCTCGCAACGAAATTCCTCTCGATTTGTAAGAAAAATTGCCCGTACAATTGCCCGTATTGTATCGTGCGTGATTGCGCGCGAGGGTGTCGCGTCCGTGTGCCTCGGTGCGTGCGCGCACGGTGACCTAACCCGTGACCTGGCCCGATGATATAAACTAGACGGACTGAATGCGCTTAATTATTGCGTTCGTTAGTCTTCTACGTTGTTCCACGCGACGCCGGGCGCCGTAACAGAATTGTTTACTCGCGCCGCGAATAATTGTGTAAGCGTAATACGGGGGACTTGGTCGCGCCAATTCTTCCACGTCTCCTAAACGCCGTGTCCGCGACAGCGGACGTTTCAGACCCGGATGCCAGCGGGGACTCCGAACCGGAAATACCGTTCGTTTCCCCTCGTGTTTACCTTATCGGGAGGCCACTTACGCGCCCGCGCGATTACGGAATTGGAAATGGTCCTTCTACAATGGTTCTCCTACCAGACCAGGCTGTTTTCGACGGTTGCACGTTGTGTAATCCGATGTCTGGCAGTTTTACGCGAAGGAAACACACGCACGGATGCACGTACGCGAAAAACGTAAGTACAGTCTTATTTATTAATGCCTGGACCTCGGTTTTACCGGGACTCGCATTTTCGCAATCTTTAT